TACGTATACGGATACGTATACGTATAGGTATATGTATATGTATATGTATATGTATATGTATATGTATATGTATATGTATATGTATATGTATATGTATATGTATATGTATATGTATATGTATATGTATATGTATATGTATATGTATATGTATATGTATATGTATATGTATATGTATATGTATATGTATATGTATATGTATATGTATATGTATATGTATATGTATATGTATATGTATATGTATATGTATATGTATATGTATATGTATATGTATATGTATATGTATATGTATATGTATATGTATATGTATATGTATATGTATATGTATATGTATATGTATATATATATATATATATATATATATATATATATATATATGTATATATATATATATATATATATATATATATATATATATATATATATGTGTGAGTGTGTGTGTATACATATATATATATATATATATATATATATATATATATATATATATATATATATATATATATATACAACTTTTAATTTTTGAACATTTAATATTTATTTGCTGTTTCAAAATTTTTACTATTACTAGAAAGTAGAAAATGAAAGAAATGTAAATTAAAGCTTTATAATAATAAGCTTTTTAAAAGCCATTGAAAAAGATAATTTGTTTCTTCAAACATTCATTGTGTCGCTCATAAAATAGCTTACACGTATTTGCGACCAATGCAAATGATAAAAAAAAAAATTGCAATACCTATTCAAATTTAAAACTCCAGCAATGGTGATAAGCAAACTTTGTTACAAAAGGTTGGATATCATAAATCCTTATATTTTTCTTACAGTTAGAAAAAAATTACTTTGGAAGATGGTTGAAAATCTAATTTAAAAAAAAAGTATTGGAGTTTAAGATTTTAAAACGTACTAGACTACCTGTTATCTAGTTAGATAACTGTTGGTTTCGGGGGTCATCAATAAATGACATCACGTCTGTCACTTATTATCACAAAATAACCAGACCCCACATTCAAAAATACGTTGTTTTTTTGTCTTTTAAAAACACTGATTTCAGCTGAGCAAGGGTCTGACTACACAATCATAGGTGACCTGCTCAACTCTATTTCACCTGCCCAGTGTCTTGCCAAGTCTCATACAACCTGTTTTTATTGTTTAAAAAAAACGATTCCGGCCGAGCATGGCTCTGTAGGGGGATTCTAAATCCTCAGTTACACATCCCTTTCTTCGCCACTGATTCTGCTGTAAATAAAAATCACTACATAGCACGGATGTAGAACTAAATTTATTTGAAAAATCGGTCGTCAGGTGTGTGGGATCCAGTTGTTAAACTCAGGTACTGGAATCAAGGAATGGATGCATCAGTGAACGGAGCACGCCTTTTACACTCAGGTCAGTCTATATGCTTTGTGTTATTTTTTAAATTCCAACCTAAAATTTCATCGATCGTAGCCAGTCGTTAGTAAAGTTTTTTTTTAATATTCATATGATACTGTTTATCGGTATAGGCAGGTTTGGTAATTATGAGGGGGTGGCTTTCAATTTATTTTCCGTTGTTCTTTACATATCATCATTTTTTCTATATATGCATGTGCTCATCCCCCAGAATAATTTAACATACACTTTCCCACACAAAAAAATCTATTTTTATCCCTATATCCCTACAAAATCATTCACACGTATGCCCATTGTGCGGTATGATTATCTGTGCTCCACAATGACTGCTGTCCTTTATAATAAACACTTCCATCGGTACCCGTTACACGGGCGATTCTGGTGACTTTTAGATCTCTATTCTTTACAAAAGGATACCTGGTTTTTCTTTTAGATATTTATCTCCGGGGAGCAGCATTTAAAACTGTCCAGAAGAGGGTTTGGGGGTTGTGTGTGTGCGCGGGGGGGGGGGGGGGGGGGGGGTGTATGAATTACTTTTTTATTCAATTTCGTTCGAAGGTGAAAGGGGAAGAAACGGTAGAGATGCATAACGAAAATGTATATACCTACGGAAAGTGAGTAATGAAATGAATTGTAATTCAGCTTTCAAAAAAGTTATTATCGGATACTTAGGAAAAGAAACATTTTATTGATCAAGAGCATTGGAATGAAACATTGTTAAGATTATGAAAAAAAAGGGTTTTGTTTTATGTACTATCTAAGTTTATTTTTGTTTAAAATAACATAAACTAGCAATACCTATTACCAATACCTATTAGAAAAATTAAAACCAAATTATATACAGTATTAGTCAACACAATACCATATTAAAATAAATGAACTCGCTGATTGAGAGACTTAAAATTAAGAGACTTAAAAGATTTCTCTAAAAACCCGGCTGTTCAATGGTAGTTATGTCTTTTAAAAACACCTATTTCGGCCAGAGGCGTAGCGACCCTACCCGGCGCCCGGGGACAAACTTTTCGATTTGCACCCCCCCATCGAGATTTTGATTTGCACCCCCCCCCCTCAAACTTTCGATTTGCGTCCCCCCTCGAGATTTTGATTTGCACCCCCCCTCAAACTTTCAATTTGCACCCCCCTCAACCTTTCAATTTATTTTTCCAACCTATTTTGGCGCCCCCTAAGCTCGGCGCCCCGGGGACATATGTCCCCCCCCCCCCCGCCCCCCCCCCCCCCTCGCTACGCTACTGATTTCGGCTGAGCATGGGTCTGACCACACAATCGCATCATATGCCGAGAAGACAGAAACAGGTGAATACCAGTGTCCCGTCAAGTCCCGAAAGGCAACTTTAACATTCACATATAACAAAAAACAAATTGAAAAAAATTAAGATTGACTTGGTTTGTCTCGAACCCGTACCACCCGAATAGTATCAATTACACTATCATCTCAGCTATTTGGGCACCTTTGATTCATGAAGAATAGAAGACCTAATTAAGAAACATAACTTATGCGAATAGCCCTATTCTTTCAAAGTAAATTTTATCCCAAGTTAGCCAATTCCATAGCTAAAGAAACAAAGATTTCTATAAAATAATTAAGGCCTGAGATAGTTTAATATAGAAATTTATTATGGGAATAGATTCTAGAGTAGATAGTCTAAATCTAGATCTTAGCGTCTACGTCTAGTTTTTCCGTAGATCTAGTCTAGATCTAGAATCCAAATAGATAAAGTAAATTTTATAAGTTTAGGCCGAAAAAAATTGTATTGTATACATTTCATGGCGTACGTAGATCTAAATTAAATTTGAATGAAATAGTTCATTTTTTAATATTCTAAAATCGGATGATGACGCCATGAGTTTTGTGTACTTTCCTTACTGTAAACAATTGGCATTTGACGTCATTGATTTATGCGTTCTTTTTCACAACTATAAACACTTTTCCCGTTGCATAATTAAAACTGTTTTTCTGCATTCGAATATGCCTTTATTTTTTATTTTTCTTCTTTAAATAAAATGTTTGTTATACATTTAAAACATCTACCATATTATTTTTAACAAAAGTCCGTATCAACTTCTCCATATATCGCTGAAGATTCTGATATGATACCCTGCGAAAATATTTTGCCACAGTGCGAGAAAGAGAGAGAGAGAGAGAGAGAGAGAGAGAGAGAGAGAGAGAGAGAGAGAGAGAGAGAGAGAGAGAGAGAGAGACGTGCACATATGGGCTTTTATATATTAGGATGGCTTGAAGATCGCGTTGGCATTTTAAAAAAAACATCTTTTTATGTATTCCACAGAGAACGTCTTCTTGGGTATCGGAGCTCTGTGCGCCATCTTACTAGCCTAGATACAAATTGCTGAGAAACAACCTCGCAGGCCTACTCATTGAGGTCGTTGGGTGTTTGTAATTTTGTAAAGGTGTATGTCATGGCGGGGGGGGGGGGGGGGGGGGGGCGGGGGGATAAAAAGAAAGATATTACACATTTTTAAAAAGAAATTAATCAAAACAATGTTTTAGCTAGTGTTCAGAAAGCAGCCACCAAGAGGTGGGGGGGGGGGGGGGGGGTAATAAAATGTACGGAGTGTGAGTAATGTTACCATATTTTACAAGAAAATTACTTAAAAAACAAAAGAAAAAAATTCGAATTGTGGATAAACGGTATGACTGGTATCGAATAAGGAAATTTTTATGCGGTTTTGTTTTGTAACAAGAGATTGTTGGGGAGGGGATAAAATATATTAAATAAAATATTTTATAGTCATCATGTTGTATATTGGCAACCAAAGAATGAAGAAAGTGTACAGAATGAAAAAAAATCAAATAATATGTATACAACTACTTAGAAAAAACAATCTATGCATATTTTAAATTTGTGTTTGTTTTTATATATACACTAGTTTTTAATTACATATGCCATTGTGTGCAAAAGTAACTTTGAAGAGATTTTTATAAGAAAAGAATGCACAATTTTCAGCGAACTGTTACTTACTACACTCGGCTGTCAAAACATACTGCAATGGTGGGCGATTAGGGTCCACGAGTCCTATAAAGTCATCATCCTGTTCAGCTTGTTCATACACGATAACATAGTATCTTCTATTCTGAATGACTTTTTTGCTATAGCAACTTTGATCAAAGTATGGATGTTGAAAAACGCTGCCTAATGTAATCTTTAAATCTTCAACTTTTCCTGTGGTACTCTAAAAAAAAAATCGCATACACATATTAAATATCGCGAAGGTGGCAGTTTTAACTGAACGTTGTTTACATTTTTAATTTACTTTTAATTCAAAGCTTAAAATTTAATAAAATTAGGATTGTTTAAAAACATGCCCAGGAATATTTTCAACAACTTCCCAAAGTTTCTCGGCAATGTGATGAGAGGTGTAGTAATGCATAAAAGACAGACAGACAGACAGACAGACAGACAGACAGACAGACAGACAGACAGACAGACAGACACTGATTTTATATATATAGATGTAGAGAAAAATCGCACCCTCCCGTGGCGCCGCCCTTGCGAATTTAAAAATGATTATTTTGCAGAACCCTTCCCTGCAGTGTTGTTATCAACTCCCCAAAGTTTGATCGCGATCGGATGAAGGGTGAGAACCCTCAATCCACTTATATTTTTACATACCGTATAAAGAGAAAAAACAAATCGCGCCCCACCGGGGCGCCACCCCTGAGAATTTGAACTTTTTTTTTTCGCCGAAACCTCTCCAGGAATATTCTCAACTTCCCAAAGTATCACAGCGATGTGATAAGAGGTAGTAATGCATAAAAGACAAACAAACAAACATACATTGTTTTATATATATATATATATATATATATATATATATATATATATATATATATATATATAGTACATTTAGACGACTGTTTCCAGTGGTGATAATAGTGCAAAAATAATCAATCTATTATAACTACAGATGGCAGAGGGAAGAAAGACAGAACAGAAACCAATATAATGGAGACATATGTAATTTCTGTATATACACAATTAGGCTACTAATAACTAAGTAAAATAAAAACAAAGAAATAGATATTATAAAACCACTGCTTTGATAAGTGGAACAGTTCAGTAAGTAGAGATAACAAAGCCTAGACTCACTGCTTTGATTAGTAGACTATTTTGTTAAGAGGAGAAAACATATAGGCATAATCTATGCTGTAATTAGGGAAAGAAATTTAATATCACTAAACATAATCTCACTGCCTTGATAAGTGGAAATTAATAACTTAAGAAAATGTTATCTTCGGTTAACTTAATCAAAACTCTTATCTTTTAATTTTTACTAATTAAAATGCTGAAAATAAATAGAATAAGTGTATCCAACTTAGGAGGGCATCTCAGAACAGTAGAGAATGTAAGAAAATTAAATTTTAACAAAGAAAACAATTAAATTGCATATTTCTAAAAAAAAGTTTATATTGATGAATTTGGCATTATTTAAAGATCGATAACATTTATCGATCACAACACGGGAAGTAGATATAATGTCAATGACTTCACGAGTGTCGTATATTTTAACTTCAGTAAAAAGCAATTATCATAAAATATTGGGATTACAAAGTTCATTGCACTTTATCAGGGCAAAGTTTTTTTCGTCTTGTCAGTTATTATTAAATGTCATCATCACACCATAAGTTGCATGTATATAATAAATATTTTGGAAGTGATAACAATAACGTTGTATATAACACAACTCACCTGTTTATTTTCTTGAAGACGAGAATCTGCCACACCTGAAATTAATGTGGACGTGTGAAATAATCTGGTTACAGAAACACTAGTATCTAACCCCTCCCCCTCTAAGTTCCTCATGTGTTTAATAGATACAAGTAATATAACTGAAACATTTGACAAATTAAGATAAATTGGAACCTGGCGCGGTTATTGAATTTGTATTAAAACCGTGAAAATCACTCTCAGAGTTTCTTCCCGGCATCTCTCCCCCCCCCCCCGAAAAATTTTTACCGCCCCCCGAACGAAATGAAATTTATATAATTTATATAGAAAATATATACTTTTAACAGTGTCCGCCCCCCCGAAGAAAGTCTACCGCCCCCCCGAAAATTTCAAGTGCCCTGCCCCCCCCCCCGGAGAAAAAAGTCTGGAAGAAACACTGATCACTCTTAAACAAAAAACAAAGCACACGGTAATAGTGAACACCAAATGCGGCACTTATAGGTCCTTATTCAGCAGTATGTAATCATGGTTAATGAATTTTTTTTTTAAATTCTAAAAAATACATAAAATTGACGCACCGAAATTTATAGACACGATGATAACTGCTAAACTTGTCAGAGCTAGCATTCTAAGCTGTGTTAACAGCGACGCCATGTTGCCGCTCAGGGTGCGACAATCTACTGAAAGAATGAACAGAAATTATAAAAGAAGGTTTTAATAACAAGTTTTTATGTGAAACTGCACTAAAAAGGAGAAAATAAATTATTTTCGTAAAATAATTAGTAATACTATACTATTTAAATTACTATAAGCAAAAGCGTGGGTATCTTCCTAAATATTAGCAAAGGCATCAAATAGATAACATGGTCATCAAATTAAGTCAAATTCGCAGTCAGAATGCATTGTCTTCAAGTCTTGATGCACGAGTCAACTTTGAAACAAATCTGTCAGGTAGAAGTGCTTGAAAATTCAATCTAAGACGAATGACAAAAGCACGACAGAAAGCACGTTAATGTTTGTGAAAAAAGATTTGTGTTTACATAACAAACCTGAATCTTCCCAGTCTAACTTTTATATTCACAGTTGCGCTTGTAAAGTCACAGACTAACTCTTAGACCCAAAATCTTAACTTTTATATTCACAGTTGCGCTTGTAAAGTCACAGACTAACTCTTAGACCCAAAATCTTAACTTTTATATTCACAGTTGCGCTTGTAAAGTCACATACTAAATTTTAGACTCAAAATCTTAAATTTTATAGTCACCAACTATCTGGTTTAGTCATAAATTTTATTGTATAACTTTTACATTTAAATAGTTAATTTTATGGGATTAGACTAATTTGTAGGCCTATATTCACAAATCTAATCTAAAGTTTAAAGACATTCAAACTGAAACAATAGGTATGTGAACAAAACAAACAATTGATTGAAGAACTGACAAATAACGACTTGAGCAACCCTGAGTCAGACGCAGATCAAAGTCAGAGCGTGAGTGAAACTAGCGTGAAATTATCACATTGATCATGTGATTATTTAATACTATAGGTCTATTGCTATAAGTATTTGAGTAGTAAACGGTTTTTTCAATACATACTGTGTGATTTCAATGCTTTAATGTAAATTAAGTAAAATTTCAAGGAAAAAAGAACACATGTCCAAAATTAATATTTTTTTAAAAAAGTTTATTCTCAACACGCTGATTAACCTAGTAACTAAATGAATACATCTACATATCAAGCATTGAACCAATTTTAATTTTAAAAAATCTAACTTCAATTCAAAATATAATTATTGTGAGGCTACCCGAGTCTGCAAACACTAAATTTCGTTTTTCTCGAAATTGAAAAAGTGTGACATCCGTGGTTTAGCCCCTATTGTCTTCGTACAATTACAATAAGTCTCACTTTTACATACAAACTCCAACTGTTATAATCAGCAACTCTATGGTATATTCACAATCTGAAATCCTAAATTGATCGTCACAATTGAGCGTGTATAACCATGTATCTGGGAAATTGCGGTTTCGTGTTTCGTTTTCTTTAGAGTGGGGAACGGGGTGCTGCCGTTTGGGGTTGGAGGAGAGTAGCTAGGGGTAAATGGTGGCAGTTAATGGTAGAGAGAGAGAGAGAGAGAGAGAGAGAGAGAGAGAGAGAGAGTTACTGATTGGAGAAGGATGTGGCGTATTGTTAAGGTTAGTGGTGTGGGCAGTTTGTGTGTGGGGGTTGGGAAGTGGGTAATAGGGTGGGGATATTGTGGGGTGGTTGTTGGGGAGAAATAGAAGAGTTGGGAAAAGTAAATGGGTGTGGGAAAATGGAGGGGTGACAAAAAAAAAGGAGGGGTGGGGAGTTGAGAATGGGTGGGGTTGTAATGGAGGGGTGGAGAAGTAGGGAGTGATGGTATGGTAGTGTTGGTTGGGGAAGTAGTGGAAAGTGGGGAGGTAATAAATGTGTTGTGAATTTATGGAGAGGTGGGGAAGTAGTGGAGGGCTGGGGAAGTAGTGGAGGAGTGGGGAAGTAGTGGGGGAGTGGGGAAGTAGTGGAGAGTGGGGAAATAGTGGAGGAGTGGGGAAATAGTGGAGGAGTGGGGAAGAAGTGGAGGGGTGGGGAAGTAGTGGAGGAGTGGGGAAGTAGTGGAGGATTGGGGAAGTAGTGGAGGATTCGGGAAGTCGTGGAGGATTGGGGAAGTAGTGGAGGGCTGGGGAAG